ACAGCCACTTGCACCCAGCAGAGGGAGCATAATACACACCTGGACTGAGTCCAGACCAGGAGGCACAAGGTGGCAAGGGGGACAAGTTCCTGGCCCCCAACCCTTTGCACCAGGATACCATAAATGCCAACAGACACCCACTGGAGTCATTTCCACCCACACCACACAGCTGAGGTATTGAGGTGCTTGGTTTCTGACCAAGGAATTCACATAGGGCCTAGGGTTTGAACCAGGCAGTCTGGTGATGGTGGACCTAAACACAAAACAAATGTTTTTTTGTTTTTAAACTGGAATTAAACCCAGAAACCTTATACCACTAAGCTATATCTCCAACCTTTTTTATTTTGAGATAGGGCCTCCCAAAATTGCTGAAGCTCAAACTTATAATCCTCCTGCCTCAATCTCCTGAGTCGCTGGAATTATAGGCATGTATCACCATGCCCAGCTACAAAGTCACATTCAAAAGGAATGGCACATGATGTGTGTTCCATGGGCACAGAAATTGATGCTTCTTTCTTCTCTCACACCCTTACACAGCTGTTGGTAGACACCACTGTCTCTCTTTCATACAGGGCACAGCAACTACCTGTGTCTTTAAACATGGGAAACCTACAGGTGCTAAGAGTTCAGGAGAGGCCACCTGATGTTACCCAAGCTCAAACCAAACAGAAGCAGAAGAGACCATGATTCTCCAAGCACAGCAGCTCAGAAGAGGACTCCCCTACCACATTAAAGGCCATGGCTGAAACAGCAGGGGCAGTGTGCTTCCACCAGCACAGGTGGGCCAGCAAGAACAGCATCCCTGTGGGTTCTGCAGCTGACCTAGGTGACACCTGCAGGCAGGCCTGGGCCCCAGTGCTAAGGCATGCTGAGTGTGAAGAGGAAGGTCCTCTCAGGAGCACTTCTATCATGTACTTTATATTATTCATTTATTTTTCCAGATGGGGTTCCACTAAGTTGCCCAGGCTGGCCTTAAGCTCTTGAGCTCAAGCAACTCTCCTGCCTCAGCCTCCCAAGTAGCTGGGATGACAGTGCTGCTGTGGTGCCTGGTCCTGTGAAGATTTTTGAAGTCAGCATATTCAGGAGAACACAGAATTTAACAACACTAGCAATGACATACGTGCCAGCAAAGTGACAGGAGCAAGTGGTGACATGACTGTGGTTTTATTTTTCCCCAGTGTGCACTCAGCCTTTCTCTGACTAGCACTTATCTCTATAATCAGATAAAAATCATGATAAATGCCTACAAAATCTCTGACAAAACAAAACAAAACCAAAAAACATGGGATACCTCTCAGATGTTACCAGGATATGGTGGGGGTCGCTGTGCAGGGCATCTGGTGAGCAGGAACTGGGGCAGAGAATGGAGCACCGTGAGGTCAGGTCACACTCCAGTAAGCAGAGTTTGGTATCTTCCCCAAGGAAGAGACTGATCAGACCCATTCTCAATCTGCTTCACATAGGGCAGCCATCACGCAGGACGTCCCCACATTTTTCTTCTAGAAATGGTCTTATCTGCTTTTTAAAATACTCCCACAAGTGTTTCTTCACCAGAGGCAGGGGGAAAAGAAGAGGCATGACCATGGAGTGCATGCCCTGGAGGCTGGAAGGCCCCTTGGGCAGGGGATCAATGTCCTGAGGACAGAGAGCTCTGGGGAGGGCCCCATCTGCCCTACCTCCCCACCTTCCCAGCACATGGGCTTTTGGAGCAGCAGGAGCACATCGATGCTCATTCCCAAAACGTGTAGTGAGGGGGTCTGGGAGGCCCCAGGATGCTCAAGATACCTCAATGTCAAACTGAGAGAGAGTGCCAGCTCTGTCTCCAAGTCACAGTGTGGCTGAAGGGGAAAGGATGGGCTCCACCTTTTCTTTCAACTCTGCTTAAGCCCAGAAAGAATGCAAGATTGGTGCTGGGAATGAGGCTTATGGGTGCAATAAGGAGGAGAGATAAGGAGAGAATTTCCAAGAGGTGGTGCAGAAACGAAGGGATGGAAAGGCCCTCCTGACCCCTCTACACCTGCCCTACTTGGTCACAGGGTCTCTATATGCCTCTAATAGGTCAGGGGACCCTGACCACCCACACCAGAGCTACTGATGATTGGGAGAAAACTGATACCTCTTCCTCTCTGAGGCCCAGGCTATGCCAGGGCTGTGCTTTCCCTGCATAAATCATAGGCACCTGGACAACAGAGTAAAACTGCTGGAACTGGGTAAAGAAGTTCCTCAGGTTGATGGGGTTCCAGGTCTGGGGATGTTGAAGATGTGGCTCAGCATGATGTTGGCTGCCATCTTCTTCCCCTTCACCACCTCCTTCTTTATGTTATTAGTGAAGAGGTTGTGGAATTTTCCAGTGTTCCAGGAGGCCTCATGCAAATTGTGTCATTATAATGATGCCAGTCTATGGGTTATAGCAAGAAAAATGTCACACTTAAGATTTCAAATCCCACCAGCCCAAGGCACCACTCCAGAAGACAGAAATACAGTGGAGCAGCAGCCAGGCACAGTGGCACATGTTTATAATGCCAGTGATGCTAATGCAGGAGAGTCACAGGATGGAAGTCAACCTTAGCAACTTAGAGACCCCTTCTAAAAAATAATTAGAAACAGGGGAGTACAGTCAGGATGAAAGGAAGGAAGGAAAACAAGAGGACTCTGGTAAACTGAGGTGACCAGAACTCACTGCATCAGCTACCATAAGCAGGTTATGCCTCTACTGAGAGAAATCCTAGACAATCCACAGTGATGAGCTTCAAACCAAGTCTCTGCTTAGCCATGCAGTTCAGCAAGCCTGGTAAAAGCTTTCAACATTACCACATGTAGGTTAAATATTTTATACCAAAACTCCATCCCTCATTAGCAACTGAGTCCTGTTCTGATAAATGAGCAGGGTACATAGTGGAACACCCACCTCAAAGAGAATGGTGAAGATTACACAGCAGACACAGAGCCTCTAGCAGGTGCCCAGTATAGGGCAAGGGCTGAATTTATGGCTACTCTGAGGACAAACTGTAAGAGACACAATTATAGACCAAGAAAACCCAGTGACATTAATTGTAAAATAATTAGAAAAAAAAGTGGTTAGCCAAGCACCATGGTTGAATGCCTGTACTCCAGGCAATTTAGGAGGCTGAAACATGGGGATCCAAAATTTGCAGGCAGCCTTGGTAACTTAGGAAAACATGACCCAAAATTTAAAAAATGAATAAAAGAGCTAGGGATCTGGCTCAGAGGTAGATCAGAGGTAGAGCACTTATCTAGCATGAACAAGGCCCTAGGTTCCATCTACAGCACTGTCAAGAAAAGAAAGCAAATTTAAAAAGAGAGAAAACCTATACAAGGGCTGAGAGCTGGGCATGATGGTACATGCCTGTAATCCTAGAACTCCAGAGGTTGAAGCAGGAAAACTACAAGTTGGAGATTAGACTCATCAACTTAGGAGGCCTTAAGCTACTGCACACTACTGCCACATTGGTAGGCCCTGCCATCCCAGCTTTACCTTGTCCTTGCCTACCCTGTCCCTGCCAGGTGACAGTTGGCCAGGGTTCATGTGCTGATTGGAACCTGGCCTCCTCAGAGCTTCTCCCTCACCCCACTGTAGCCCCTCCCTTTGTGGGAATTTTCAGAGCAGAAGTTTCATCTCTCCTTGTGGAATCATCTGATGAAGTCCAGTTTTGCCTCAAAGCTGAAGTCCTCGAAGTACACTATTGTTATTAAAAATTACGTGTACAGGGGCTGTGGTTGTGGCTCAGCCATAGAGTGCTTACCTAGCATGTGCAAGGCCATGGATTTTATCCTCAGTACCACATAAAAATAAATAAATAAAATAAAGATGATATTGTGCCCAAACAAAAAAACAATATATATATATATATATATATATATATATATATATATATATATGTATGTATGTATTTTAAATTACGTGTACAGCCATGTATCATGGTGTACATAAAGCCACTCTAGAGGATGAGACAGGAGGGCTTCTTTTCTAGTTGGAGCCCAGATACTTGAGGACAGCTCAGAAAACATATTTTTAAAATCCTGGGTCCTGGAGGTCACTCAGGACAGGGCTAGGTGCTCAGGCAGGCCAGGACTGCCAATATCTTCAGAGAGGGTCACCGAGGAAGAGCTGCTGAGGGACTGAAGAGGTGCAGAGAGTTCTTTCCAAAGATTCAACAGATTGAATGTAGAAGCCACCCAAGTGCCACTAGCAAAATGTGATGAGGACAAATAACAGAGGCCCATAGGGAGGCTCTCCACACATTATCCTGCTTCTGGTCACCACCTGGCCCCCTCCAGGAAGGGCCAGCCAGCAGCTCCCTGTTCCTTGCTTTGTCCCAGAGTCTGTCCCGGTAGTCGGGCCCACCCTGCCCACATCCCCAGACCTTTCTGTGGCTCCATCCTCATTCCTTCCCATTTCCTCTCACATGAGTCAAACCACAGCAGGGGCAGCGTGCAGCAGAGAACCCATGCAGACCAGGCAGTCTACTCCGCACGGCAGCACCCAGGCCAGGACACAGGCACCACAGGAGAGGCCCTTTACCTCTGGATCACAGGAGTGAGGACTTGACACACAGGCAGTGGTTCACATGCCCCCCTGCCTTCTGTGGCTGCTTGTACATGTACTCAAACTCCACAGTGCATTTGGAGCCTTGGTTGCAGGGAAGAACGGACTTGTAAGGAACGGCTCTATACAGGCTCTGCCTTGGAATGACAATGCTGTCCTCGGTGAGAGACCCATACTCATGTAAGTCCCTGCAAACCAACAGACACTGGCCAGTGATCTAGAAGTCTTATTTCAGAAGATTTTTTTTTTCTCAAACACACCAAGAACACAGACCCAATAATGGACACTGACCAAAATGGCATGTCTAGAACAGGACAGGTCTTACTTTCTAGTTAGAACAGAAAAAAGAGCCATGGTGAAGGGAGACAAAGAATGCATGCTGGGAGTGTTAAACACACTCACCCAGGGAACAGGGTCACCCCAAGGACTCACTGATCACCTCTAACAAACACCAGAGGGACTGGGGGCCCCAGGACTCACTCAGTGTAGTACATCTCACAAGCATCACTCCACTCAGGCTGTCCAAGCTCTTCTCCTCCCCTGATGAACACAGTGTGGAGCTTGGGGTACAAGGTGACATGTGTGGGGATGATGGTGTGGAAGTACATGGTGATCCCCTCCTCGGGGTTCAGCCAGCTGGAAGAGGGAAGGAAGCACTTCGGTCACTAACTGCTCCTGGCCCAGCCACCCCTCCTCTTTCTCCACTAGTCATTTTCACCCCTGGCCACTGCCCACCATGAGTGGCCAAGAAGAGGAAAAGAGAGTGTGAAGCCCCAGCCTGGCTAGCCCACCTCCCCTGATGACCCCACAGCTGAACTGTCCCAGGGGCCCTCAATAGGTGCGGACAGCATCCCTGGGCCCTGGGCCTGGGCAGGGCAGCCTGGTACCTTGAGGGGAAGGCCTGACTGCTGGCCTTCTGGTTCTTCTGCTCCTTCTCCTTTGTCACAACAGCTGTGTCATTTTTGTCACTCCCTTCTGGCTTCCTCAGGTCTTTGGGCTCTGAGCTGTTTTCACCTGGTTTTTCTCCAGGAACAGCCAACCTGTCCTTGGTCTCACCCTCCTGAAACAAGCAACAAGCCCCAGCCTGAAAGGCTGCCCCTCAGCTATGAATCTTACAGCAGCCCAGATGGACTGTCCAGTCCTTCCAGTTCACTCACATGGCTTCTGAGGACCTTCCCCAACCTTGACTGGGCCCTCTTCCCTCTCTCACTTCTGGGCACACTAGTTTCTTCCACTGAGAACAGGCTGCCACAAGATACCCCCAGGCCTTAGCACACCAATCCTTTCATCTGAATGTGTCCCCAAAGACCCCAATGCTCAACCCTAACTCCATCTAGCCTCTGCTTCCCCAGAACCTCCCTGGAAGCCTAACCCAGCCTCCTTGGCTGAGGGACCACCTTCCCTCATGGCACCAACCATCTCATTCCTGGGGACCCTCCTGGTGCCAACCATGCTCTTTTTCCCAGCTCACTTCCTGTTGCCTGGCTTGGCCTCAGTCTTCCCCCATCAAGAATGAGAGCTCCTTAAAGGAAGGCTTTGTCTCCTGTGCACTGTCCCTAGCTCTCCACAAACATGCCACACAATAAGACTGAAGATGGGCTAGTGACTGACTGCAGGAGAAGGAGCTGGGAAGGCCAAGCAGTGTAGCCCAGGCCAGCCTGGAGAGAAACTTGTACCTAGCACTGTTCCTTGGAAGCAGGGAGACTTGCTGGCAGCCCATTTGCTGACTGAACATTATCTTTCATTTGTTTCCCAGCCATGTTAACTGGAATATCTGTCTCAGCTGTAGCATAAACTCCCTAGACTCATGGGGTCTAAGCCACAGAGACAAATGGAAGCGCTGCTCTGCCCCAAAGGCTTAAGATCAGCATTGGTCTAAATGCTGAGTGTGGGGTTAACTGTCTATCCCCACCTCCCCAGCTGCCCTCCCAGAAAGGGAAGCAACCTCTCACACACATGGCACACCAAAGGTGCTAGGGCAAGTCCCATGCCCCTGACCACCACTCACCCCAGAGGCTGGGACTTCCAGGTGCTGCCTGGCCCTCTGTGCTTCTTTCTGAGGCTCAGAATCCCCTTTGGACTCAGGCAGTGGGAGCCCCTGGGCAGAATCTTTGCAGGTAGATGTTGGTGGCCCAGACACCTCCTGAGAGAGGCTCGTGTCCCCAGAGAGCGTGGAGGTGTGAAGATCTTTTTCTTCCATGTGTTCCTGTGGTGATGGCCTGCTCTGAGCCATATCTCCTGTGGCTGCACCCCTGCACTGGCCAGCTGGACCAGCCTGCTGGGCTTTGCTTTGGTCCAGGGCTGTATCCTGGGACCAGGGCTGTGAAGGTGAATTTGGACACTGGGGAATGGAAGGCAATGGGGCCAAGATACCTTGCTCTGAGGAAGCAGTAGTGTCCTGAGTCTTTCTCCATTTCTTCCTTTTGTTCTAAACAGGAGAGATATACCAATTTTACTTCTTAGGTTTACTAAAACTTGCTTCACATTTCCCTCCCATTTTTTTTTGTCCCAACTCTCTGGTACAGCAGGCTTAGCTCTGGTGAACCACTTACATTTGTCACTCTGCCACTTCTTTATCATGGGTGGACCTGAATTAAGCAACCAAGAGTGGGGTTGGGGGAACCAAGGAGCAAGAGGCCAGGCAGAGCATTGCAAAAAGGGGCTGGGGGTGTCACTGCAAGATTGTTCTTGGACATTACAAAACTCATGGACTGTCCATGTGATACCCTTTGTGTTATGTGTCACAAGCAGAAAAACTAGAATTAAGAAGAGGAGGAGACTGCAGAGTGTGGAGGAGAAGTGAGGCTGCTCCTGGGCTCTGGAAGTCTTGGGCAGCTCCCAGCCAAAGCTGGCACCTTGGAAACCAGGAATACAGCTTGTGAGGAACAGGCTTCTGGGATCCTGGCCCCAATGGCTATGATGCTCTAGAGGAGGAGTCTGTGGGCCACTGAAAGCAAGTTGTTGATATATCCTGAGTCCTGGCCGTATGTGGGGAGACCCTGCCACGCCAGACAGCTGGGGGTGAACCTGCACTTGCCCTAGACCCCCACTCCTTGAGTTATGCCATCAAGAAAAGGGAAGAACTTGGGTAGATCTGTGCCTAGGGGGTACAGCCTTCTTGTGAGTCAGTATGCAGCTTCCCCAAGAATCTTAGCTGACCTTCCTGCAGAACTTCCAAGATGCCCACAAAGTCAATCCCTCCAGGCACCCTGAGCACTCCTAGCCTGAGTCATGCTCATGGCTGGGCTCCTGAGAGTCAGCGCCCAGTGTGTGCAGTAGAAAGACAGGGCTTAAGAGACTTTTTTATTTTATGGTTCTGAGCATAGGACCCAGGACTTTTCACAAGAAAAATAATTTAAGACAGAAACTTCTCCATCTTCCAAGGGCAACCAAATCACCCAAGATACTGTTAACATGGGCAGTGACTCAACAGTCTGGGTGGGTCCCAGGGTACTCATTTCCACAGGCTCTCTGGAGGCACGTGCTGCCTGCTCAGGCCCAGTCATGAACATGAGATAGTGCAGCAACTGGTGGTCCTCTCCATGGCACCCCAGGGTCACCAGGAAACCTCTGAGACTGCTGGATAGGTCTGGGGTCTCCTGACCTTAATGGTGTCCATAAGCATTCTGATGGCTCCAAGTAATTGCTGAAAAATACCACGTCAAAACAGTGTAGGCTCTGGGAGGGACACACTCCCTAAGCCCTTCCCAGAGACCCTGAAATGTCAGTGCTTAATCCAAGTGGTGTTGCCTCCACACTGAGCCACTGAGTGATGTGGGTCTCTGTGAGGCACAAGGACCATGAGGGCATAAGGGCAAAACAGGGTCCGGTCCCACGATGCTGGACACATTATGAGACATGCCAAGGACAAATCCAGCCAGGAGGGCATGGTGGGAAGTCAGAGGCCACCCTGACTCATAGGCTTTCTAGAGACGGTGGCAAGTGGCTGAGTCTGAAAGATGCAGAAGCTCTAACTCAGCCTGCTCTCCTTGGCAAGGACTCACAGGTCTTTG